GACTTAGCTAACTGTAGGCTAAATCAATATTTGGAAGCATCAGTGTTCAAAGTGTACTCTTCAACACTGCCGACCTGCACGTACGAAAATACTCTCAGAAGTTGTGAGGAACAAAACAGTTTAGGTCTTCAACCTGTTCATTAAACTTGCAGAAAGCCTACTTCTATTTAATTTCTGTAACAGAACATTGCAGGCAGGTGATACAACATGACTTTATTTGGGCTGTCGTTTTTTGTTCTGGCTTCATCCTTCTTTACTGTCTATAGCGGGCCTACAGGTAAGTTCAGTTATTCAAAATATGTCTTAGTGTTATCTTAAAATAATGGAAAACTGTTTATTTTCATGTTGTGGTTCAGTTTCATTAGTGTTTCTGCAATCTGTATTTTTATTTCGAGAATGTACAAGTTTTACTATTGCTTAGCCATTTTCATTTTGAAAAATATGTTTCTGAAAAATGAAAATCGACAAAGGAAAGAGAGAGTATCAAAGATTGAATATACTTTCAGTACAACAACACCGGTTTAGGGATTGTGTGAACATTATTGGGAGGAATGGGGTTTGTTGTTCAGTCTGACTGACTTTCCTCTAAAGAAAAACAACCAGGTTACTTTTGTTTTTGTGTTTCAATAAACAACGTTAGCCACATGTTCACAAATGTGACATCAAGTTAATATGCTCAAAACATAACTGATGATGAGGTTTAGTTTTATGGGAACATTATTTTTGAAATGTGAGGGTGAGATCAAAGGAGGTATCATGACATTGTGATTGAATAACTAAGTCCAATGAATTCTAATTAATAATTTTAAGTTTAAATAAAAAAATATTAGGTTCATATTGATATCATGGCTTTCAACAATTATGTGTAATCTGTTGACATAATACATTTAATTAAAGTAAAAATGTCCCTTCTTTCCTGTGTAGGTCAGGCTGTAAAACACTGATAATATATGTACTGTTTGCTTTCTGTCAATCAATTTTGTTTCTTTTGACCATGAACACTCCCATCATAACAACTTATGTATTATTTTCCCCATGATAATGGTTATTTTAAGTCATAATCTTTCCCTAAAGCAGACTAAGTTGGTTTTGTGTCCAAAGCTGACCAGCTTGGATACACAGCTTGGATTGTGTAAAAAGCCTCCAGTTATTTGTATTGCGCAATGTTTCGATCTCACAAAGGTCAACTTTAGGCTTTGTCTAGATGGAAACGCAGCTAAATGTAAATGGTTTTATACAGTTTACAGAGCTTTTGTTCAGATTTTTGCCTGAGATGATACTTTGATGTATTGTAGCATCCAAGAATTTGAGGAAGGTGTGTACCCTTTTTGATGCATTCTCTCTTTTAGTTATTCATTGTGAAACAAATTGAACCAATGTAATTCTGTTTTATGTTGATATATTGGTCAAAGGTAGAGAAGAAACAATACACACCTACTATTTTCACTGCACCTAGCTGTGATCTGAATAAGACCTTCAGCAAATGGCCAATGGACTTCATTTATATAGTGCTCTACAGAAACCACTCAAAGAGCTTTACAATACAAGCAAGCGTTCACCTAGCATTCATACACTAGTGGCGGAGGTTACTTCATACTTACTACACCTGCTCACCAGGAGCCATAAACACATTGACAGCATTTTTTGGGGTTAAGTATCTTGCGAATGGACACTTTGACATGTAGACAGCATGAGCCAGGGATCAAAATACAGACCTTCAGATGACTTAAGTTTTTCATTGCCATATCTACACTGTAGCTGTGCACATGACAATAAAGCCTTGGATCTTGACTAAACAACGTGTACTTCCTGAGCCACAGCCTCCCCTGGATATTACTGTTTCACAGACAATTGGTCTCACACTTTTTTATTTTTGTCAGGTGTTCACTTGCGCAACATGGAGAGCTTCATCCAAGCCGTGCAGCAGGTGGAAGACTCCAACCCCGGTCTGTGCCCCCTGGCTCTGGTCCGGGCCCTGCGGAAGACTGCCGGCCATGACGATGAGATGACCATTCACTTCCTGGGTGCCTCGTATAGCATTGCTTACGCTGAGGTCCTAGAAAAAGCAATTCTTAATGCCTCATCCTTTAGCTTCTTTGACAAGGCCATCCACCATATTGTGACAGATTACGGAGAGGAACGAGGGGTGGTCCTCGCTCCTGATGGCACCACGGTAGCCCTTGCTCCTTTACTGCTAGGAATCGAAACAGGTCTGAAAGCAAAGGTGGAGGGGACACCACCAGTTGGGATGTTCCCTCTCACTTTAGGTCGAAGGCTGGGCTTGTCCTTCCTCAGCCTCCAGGACTTCCCTCCGTCTAATCGTCTGGGGCCCAACGGGTGTTGGGACAGTGTGGAGCGCCCTAAGTTGTTCAAGCTGTTTCGGCCTGCCACACTGGCCACTGATGCCGTCATTAATGGGGGCATGGATGGTGCTATACTGGGCATGGACTACAGCAACCTCCCTGCATCTGAACAGCCGCAGGCCCTCAGCGAGTTTCTGAAAGGATACTACAGTTATGTCCTGCATGAAGGGCAGGGTCTTGATGATATCACTAGCCATGTCAGCCCGAGGCGAAGGGAGATCTCTAGATCCATTCTGGAGCCACTCGATCTTTACAGCCAGGTGATGGAGACACTAGCATTAGTCTGGAAGTTGGAGAAGACAGAGTGGATTGCTCTAGACACTGGAGTGGGGAAAGCAGTGAAGGATGGATTACAGGAATTTGTGAACAAATTCTGGGGTGAGTTATGAAACGCCATAAACCCCTCTGTTTTCAGCCCTGTTTCAAAAGTGCTCATTCTGTGTCTGTAACTTTACATTCAAATGAACTGCCACTCCCCATGCTCCTCTGAGAAGTGTTTGGTTTGAAAAAAACACAAAAGGTGCTCTATCAGGAGATCAGGTGATAAGGTGGCTGTTACCTTGGCTGGTTATAGCCAAAAAACATTGTGTCATCTCAACGTGGCCAACATTTGTCAAACTAATCTTCAGACAGGTTTTCATATAAAGGGATGAGGACAAAAATAGAGAAAACTTTTTTTCCTGAAACTTTCCAAATCTCAAAACAGAGGGGACACATATTTATGTATAAAATACATGAAAAAGTGGATATTGCATAACAGGTGACCTTTAATCAATTGATCATGTGATTCGTAAAAGGTTATAGAAACTTTGAAAAATCTTTATTATACGTTCCACGAACCCCAACAAAATGTCTTCTATCTGCACAATAGTCCAACATTCAGTTTACTGTCAAAGAAGTGTATGGACTCAAATGTATATTTATGAATTATAACTGAAATATATTGACATAAGGGAGGAAGGAAGCTTTGAATTATTGTTGATTAAATGGCTTAATTATATTAGATTATCAAATGTTTGAGTCTTTGAATTAAGATTTGTTGCAGAAAGGCTGGTCATGGTCATGGTTAAAGAACCCTGTTTACAATAATCTTTTTCGTTTTATAATACTGATGTTTTCTGGTGAACAGACTTAAAATATATGTTTGACTTTCAGTTCTGTAATGTTTTGTTATTTAAACAGCAGACATACACAATGAGCTAATATCGTTCAGGCTATAGTCTTGAGTCTTGAACCTCTAGTTTTGACAAAGATAAGCTTGTGGTTTTAGTTTCTTAACACTTATCCTCTTTCTCCTCAGTCTGCCCTCAAATCATCCCACGTTGTCAGTGGGGGGCAAAAGCCTACCAGAGTACACCTATCCCACTGTCTCTGCCCGTTCAATTTCTCTATGTTCACCACACCTATGAGCCATCCTCACCCTGTCTATCCTTCCCAAACTGCTCTCGCAACATGAGAGCCATGCAGCGTTTCCACCAGGAGGATCGTGGTTGGAGCGACATAGGATACAGGTAACTAACCCTTAAACTGATTGTAGTCAATCTGACACTTGAGAAATGGTAACCCTTGATTAGCTAGGATGGTTAAGGATGGTTTGTTAAGAAGCTGGTCACACAAGGGTTTTCGCATCTTTGTGCCTTCAGCTTTGTGGTTGGCTCCGACGGCTACGTCTATGAAGGCCGAGGTTGGAACTACCTTGGCACACACACCAGAGGACACAACTCCATCGGGTATGGCGTGTCGATCATCGGTAACTACACTGCCGCCCTGCCGTCCCACCATGCCATGGACCTGCTGCGCCACCGACTGGTCCAATGTGCTGTAGATGGAGGAGGACTAGCTGCCAACTTTACCATCCAGGGCCACAGACAGGTGGTGAACTACACCTCCTGCCCTGGAGACGCCTTCTTTTCAGAAATAAGAAGCTGGGAACACTTCAGGGAATGATATTCTTAAACGTCTTGTATGGCTCTTCATGTGATTACTACAACTGCCTGCTGCTTATCTTTCCTAATTTTGAAATAGTTCCACTGTATGAGTTAATGCTCCAGACTCTGGATTATTCATCATTTTAACTTAATAACATGTGAAATTAAAAGCACTAAAATCTTCTCACCTAATGTCAAGTGTCTTACTCCCGAAATGACTCTGAAGGTGACCTCTGACCCCTGTTCTGAACATCCCAGTACTGATATTTTAACAGCGACCTCTTGAGAGCAAGTTCTAAATAATGTGATAACCAAGACTGTTCTCACCTAAATGTTGCTTTAAATTGAGGCCTACTAGAGCTGTGTGGTTATCCTTATCCGGGGCTTGCATTGGTTCAATACTAAGAATCCTAAAAGCTCTTTCAGTAAAAATGTCTGATGATCTGATTTTCTTTATCTTATACATAGGGTTTTGTAGCCATCACAAACATTTCAATGAATCAGTTTCAACTCAGTGGGACACAGCTAATTGAAATTTAAAAAAATTGCTCTAAAGAATATATTTTATGTAAGCAAATAATTGAAACCTGTTTATGTAAGAAGGGTGAGCATTACTTTATTCTGCAAGAATGTAACAGGGCTTGGTGGGTGGATGTGGTCCGGAAGGAAATTAGATTCCTTTTCATTCAGCTGGCGAGGGACTGCAAAGTTTGCTTGTTCGTCAGTGGTGAGAGGAGAGAGCTACCAGCAGCAGTGTTTCCTCTGGATGAGAGCAGAGATGGCTTCAAAGACCGTTACACACCATTTAAAAGACATGCTGTTTAGCCTCAGTAAAATGCAGCTGGAGGAGTTCTGCTCTGCGTTCCTGGACCGCAAGGAAGAGCCGAGGGTCAAGCGCAAAGATCTGGAGGACAAATCCCGTGTGGCAGTGGCAGAGCTCCTGGTTGCTACTTACACGGAGTCAGGGGCAATACCAGTGGCTCTGGACATCCTGAGGGAAATTAAATGCAACGAGCAAAGAGAGATACTGGGTGAGTTCAACAGGCAGTCAGATCTGTGTACATCAAGGGTGTGAGTTTGGCTTCAGAATGGATTTCCATTAGTAGTTTTCTTTTCACAAGAGAGAATAATTGAAGGGTGAAGACTGAGTTTTGCAAATATTCTTTTTATATAGAATAGATATACAACATTATGCAACACTTTGGGGGAAGGAGCCTTCAGTGCCTGTGCCCCAGCTGTAGAAAGTGTCTAAATGTATCCGAACAAAAAACAACGACTTATTTTCACTTTCATATTGGTAAAACCTACTTTTTTTCATGCATGGAACAATTCTTTGAAATTAGAAATCAGAAACTCATCGTAACTTATTTTTATTTTTTTGGGTCAACAATATTTCAACATTTTTGAAAAATGTTAACACATGATAAACAGACTGTATTTCAAAATGCAACATTCCTTGTCAGCATCTTTCATTAGACCTTTTTAAGCCCATTGTTAACTCTGTATCACAGGGTTTCTGTTACAAATCAGGTCTTAAAGTCCTAAGTCTTACTTAGAAGATATTTCACAAAAGTTTTTAAGTAAGTGGGCCAAAACTGGAATGAAAACATAATGATTTCATCTAAAGTACTTTCTTATTTTCACCTTTTCTGATGACCAATTATTTTCCTTTCTATTTTGAGCTTTAACTTTTGTTTTTCCACCTGTCTGCAAACACACTCTTGTTGACTAATGGAAATCAAATAAAGCTCTTAAATATATCTGTTATGGAGTTTTTTCATTGCTATTCAACATTGATTATTTTCTATATTTTCAGCAAAGGAGGCATCTGAAGCATCAAGCAGTAAGTGAGATGTTTTTGATGAAGAATAACCTTCAGGTCTTTAAGCTCATGGATGGATTATGGGATAATGGGCCTCATCTATAATGCCTGATACCCCTCTTTGTAATGGTCATTTTGAGTCTTTTAAATGGTATTTTTTGTCCGTTTTTTAAAGTTTTTTTAATCCTTAATCGTTTTGAAAATCCTAGTCGATCTTTTGCATCTTTTTTCACGGTTGTTTTGAGTCTTTTTATGTTTTTTTTCCAATTATCTTTTGGTCTTTTAAAAATATACTGTGCAAGTTTTATGTCTTGTTTTTTTTGCCATTGTGTCTCTCATTGCAACATTTTCGCCTTTTTTACACTAGTTGTTTAATTGACTTCTGTACTTCTGTTCTTCTGTTTAAAATATTTTTAGCCAAAGAGACACAAGAAGGATCACTGCCATTGGTTTACAGTAAGTGAGATGTTTTGGATGATGAATAACCTCCATTCTATAACCCATCCATTCTTGTCATCATTGCTGATGATAAGAATGGATGTTGAAAATAATAACTTGATGTACAACAGGACATTTCGACATAATGCTTATGGAAACTACTGGTGCATCCATGGCAACAGCTCAACAGGACAAGCTGAAATACCCAGGTAAAAACTAATTTATATTTACAGTATATACAGTATCTACCAATAGTGTTAGTCAATCAATGGATTGAAATGACTGTTGCCATATTCCCGTTCTGTCCTTTTTTACTTTATAAAGGTATTAATGCCTCAAACGCCATGGCAGAGATTGACCTGGAGGATATGGAGAAATACAAATCCATCATCAAAGAGGTGGCTTGTGATAAAAAAGTTGATCCAGCGCTGATTGCTGCCATCATCTCTCGACAATCCAGGGCAGGAAAGACCCTGAATAAAGGATGGGGCTGCACTAACACCTTTGGGCTGATGCAGGTAATAACAACACTGCTTTAATTAATCCCTCCCTAAAAGTCTCTAATGTTAACGTTACAATCGCAGTTCAGTGTTTATTTCAACTTCCTTAACACATTTTTTTGGTAGATCACTTCAGATCGACGCGGGCACATCGGAACAGATTTATGGGCCAGCAAGGAGCACATCTGCAAAGGAACCGACATCCTGATTAATTTCCTGTTACGAATCAAGCATGCACATCCTGACTGGAGCAAGGAGCAGCAGTTGAAAGGTCAAACAGGACTTTCTCATTTATTTATTTATTGTTTATTTTAGTTTTGTCCTGTTAGTCTGTACAACACTCTCTTACATTTTGGCTACATGATCTGTTTTGGTTATATTTGTGGTTTAAAGTGAAGATCAACTATGTATGGCTTGTCAATTGATGTACAATACAGACTAAGCTGAACACTTGTAGCTTTGAACTGTTGAATATTTGTCACTGTGGTTCCTATCAATGTAACAAATGTCTTTTCTATGTGTCTTCAATCAAAAATATTTTTAAAAAACAGGACTTTCTGACAAACTACCATCCCTCTTTATATTTTCCTTTGTTCTCATTTGTATTTTGTCTCTGCAGGAGGGATAGCGGCCTACAGTGCAGGAGATGGGAACATCCACTCCTATGAAACGGTCGACTCCAAAACCCCGAATGGCGACTTCTCCAATGATGTCATTGCCAGAGCTCAGTGGTACAAGACCGACGGTGGCTTTTAATCCCTGAAGCTCCTTAAGATCATATCAATGAAACACTGTTGTTATTCACACCCTTAGCCAAATGAACACAATGAACCATGTTTTTAATGATTGCATTATAAAATAAAACGTAAAAAACAGGGTGATTCCTCTTTTAAATCCATATTGAGGTATTTTCCATAAGTATAACTGTTGAATAAAAAGTGAATGATTGAGAACAAAGATTAGCCTACCAGTTAGTCTCAAAAAGATTGTTTCAAACTTGGCTGTGTACAAGTACAGTAGTAGTAGTAGTAGTATAGTAGTAGTAGTAGTAGTAGTAGTAGTAGTAGTAGTAGTAGTAGTAGTAGTAGTAGTAGTAGTAGTAGTAGTAGTAGTAGTAGTAGTAGTAGTAGTAGTAGTAGTAGTAGTATCTGTACAAGTGTATGAACCGTTAATACAATAATTCACATTTAACTTTTGTCTTTTACTCATGTAATCTTCTATTTTTTAGTTTAGTCAGTATACAACTGCAAAATACTGTCCTACTATTTATTACTTGATGGAAATGTTGCTTTCTCAAGTGTTGTCGGGTGGGATTAATGGAGGATATCCGTTTACATATCAGAATGGAAAAAAGGAAACTTGCAGCAATTTCCTGTTGTACTCAGTGCTGAACTTTTGTGCATCATCACAACGATAAAAGAAAGGATTTTTATTTTGTATAAGCTGAGAAATTAGTGAAATGTACTTGAAGTGTCCTGAAATAGAGTGACTTTAAAAGATTTATCATGGAGCTTATTACTTTTTTTTTTAGCAAGGACTAAATCTGAAACTTATGTGCAAACATCAGCATTCGTTCAATTGAAAAAGGACATAGTGGAATTTGCACAAATCATGCAACATTTACTGTTTTATCTGTCTACATGCGAGTGCTCTGCCCTGCTACAGTCAGTGGGGGCAGTTTCTTGTAAATCAGCTGGTTTAATCTTTCTCCACCTTTTTCACTTGCAAACCCACCCAGGCCCATTCTCCCCATCTGCTGGAGAGAAATGGAGAGAACAGTCCACACGGAAATGAAAGTAAATATACCGGGCTTTAAAACAAAAGGGACGAGGTGTACATCTCCCTCTTTAAAGTTTCATAGCTTTTACTTGTTTAGGCAAATGCCTGATAACTTGATTAAACAAGTTTTGTTAGGAATATTTGACACCAGAGTCAAACCTTTAAAACATATAGCTCATAAGATTAAACTTTGGCACAGGACCCCTTTAAAATTCATGGCCACAATATGTAAATGCTTATAAAATGATTTTTGTTTTTTTAAAGTTGTTGATATGTGAAGGGTGAGAATTTCTTTGATTCACAGGATTGTATCTTTTCAGACTACACAGACTGTGTATGTAATAGTGGCTCATGTTTGTAAAAATGATTTGGTTATGTAACTGTAGAGTTCCTTCAAGTCCTCTAGCAATGTCCTTATCTTGATAAAAACTGATTGTAGCGGCCAAAACCAGATAAACTCAAAATGAAACTGCCCCCGAGGCACCTGTTGGAGAGTTTTACGTCCAAGGATCAAGTTGCGATAGTATCCTTTTCGTACATTTATTTTCATGATCCAATATCATCAAAGGTGCATTGAACAGGTTTCCTATACTTGTCATTCAACTTTTCCTATAGCTTTTACTCGAATCACCTTGGTAAAAAAAACATATGCCTATGCTGGTGCTCTATTCCCAGCACCACCTAGCACCTGCTCCTAATATGTAGCAATATAAAGCTCCTACACTGATCTAATCATTTTATTATTAGAAGGTTATGCTTCTTGAAACTACTGGTGCCTCGTGGGAAACAGCTCAGCAGGACAAGCTGGGATACTCAGGGAATCACAGAGAGAAACACAGGAGCTGATTTGATGAGAACAATTCATATAGCCTTTATCTAAACCTCTTTTTGTGTAGTTGTTCTTTATCTATGGATTTAGAGGGAAATACATAGTTGTTGATCTGGGGCCATGTTCCTGTTCTCTGTTTTTATTTATTTATAAAAGGTGTGAGGGCTTCTCACACCTTGACACAGACGGATGCAGGCAGGATGGAAAAGTAAAGGTCATAAATCAACAAAGTTGGAGGTAGTTATGGATTCCATCCTGCTCTCATCGATACCATCATCTCCAGAGATTCCAGGGTGGGAAATGGATTGCAGGAAGGCTGGGGAGACTTGACCCAGGCAGAGGCCACATACACTGCCGAACATTACTTTGACCTGTTACATCAGAGAGGGCTGTTTCTTTGAAATTAGCTGGTATCATTTGAATTTCCTTTGCTTTTATCGATGTCAACCACCTCACAAAGGGGGGAGTCATAGTGAAACTGAAAGTAAGCATGCCTTATATAGCTATATCCTGCAACCCTGCAACAGATTCTCTTGATGAGAAGGAAACCACCAGAAGACAAAACAGGTGGGTGCCTGTGTTCATTTAACTTTGATACCATTTAAAGGTGGGGTAGGTAATTCACTTCAGAAACACCTTTTGTTATATTCCATGTGTAACAGATGTAAATATGCAGTGAGGTTTATTTAATTTAATTTTGTATAATCACACAAATTCTGTGTTTTATATTATTTTATTCTGTGTTCTTCATTTTATTGAATGTTAAATACCTGGGAAGGTCGGAGATCAGTGGGCGGAACCCCTGAAGTGTGGTCGCTGTGCTCAGGAGTTTATTGTTGTGAGGACTTTCCCCCCTATATATGGTGTCCCTCACGTTTCCTTTTCCCTTTTTGAAAATGTTCCACGTGAGAGGAGTCACTGTGAGGGAAATGTATGTCAAACTGATCGCTTTATCTGTTGTCAGTCATTAAACAGAGATCGTCTCAACTTTACGCTGGCTCGGGTCTCGTCCATTATCAATACAACGCAGAGACCGCTTAACCGCACCATGGAATTTATCTCGTGCCCTCATTGGTCATGTGCGCATTCGTGTGAGTCAGAGCCATGGTGTGAGTGTTGCAGGAGGGGCTCTGTAAGGAAGTCTGAAGGAAGGGTAGATTTTTTTCGGCTGCGTACTTTCAAATTCTAGCGCACTCGAACTGGTTTCTCCATTCTCTTACCCTACCTTTAACTTTCAGTTTTATATTATTATAATTACTCAACGTGTTACACAAGACCATATTATCTGTCTACTTATTATTCTTTTAAAATAAATATTGTTTGCAGCTCATTTAAACGTATACCATGTAAGATTATGTATGTGTATATATGGGTATATATGTAAAAAGCATGTAATGTGTTGTGAAGGCGTGTGGCGCAGTGAATTAGTGTGTTGGTTTTCAGGTCAGGGGAGCACAGGTTCAAACCCCACTGCAGTCAGAATGTCGTTGTGTCCCTGGGCAAGACACTTCACCCCAAAGTGCTCCTGTGGGGATTGCCCACAGTATTGTGTATGTAAGTCGCTTTGGATAAAAGCGTCTTAACAAGTAACATGTAATGTAATGTCATTTGTACACAATCATACCAAAATCATACCAAATGTTTAACTTAATTTTAATTAAGGTATCATGTCCTTTTTGCGCAGGTGTCAGCGTCTTGATTCACTGCCTGTCATAAATTAACTTTTAGTTCCAGTTTTAGGAGACATTTTTATGACACGCCTAGCCAGGAGCGCCGCCAGTGATTTTGGGCCCCATGAAAATATATCACATTGGGCCCCACCACCTGGCACAGGCCACTTTGTTTATAAATTACCTCGAGGGCCATACCAAATGGTCTAGTGGTCCGGATACGGCCCGGGGGCCGGAGGTTCCCCACCCCTGCTTTAATATAATAACATTAGTATTAATATCATAACCAAAATGTTGGTGATTAACATTTTGTTTACCTAATACAGACTGATCACTCAACGCTTCAAACTGTCCATCATCCAAATAGACTAAAAGCAGTTTTTTGTTTTATATAGATCATTGGCTATGTGGGAAAATACTGTGTTTGAAATGTATAATTAAAATTAGATGTTAGCTTTTTGTTTTGATATAGGCTATATAATATATATATATATTTTGTATTCCAGTCTCCCTTCAAATAATGTTAAGTGGCATGTCATTCAACACAATGCTGCTCACCTCCTTCAGTTGGAAGAAAAGCTGGTTCAGGTTCAGCCTTATGGGGGGACAGGGCTGCTGAGCTTAGAGATGGATCTGTTGGACCTGGCACCAGGGGGAGGGACAACTGATTTAGTATGAATAGGAGCTAAAAATGTGCCTGCCTTTATTAAAGGTATGTAGGTAAGAATGGAGAAACCAGCTCGGGTGTGCTAGAATCTGAAAGTACACAACCGAAACAAATCTGCCCCTTCCTTCAGACTTCCTTACAGAGCCCCTCCTCCAACACACACGAATGCGCACATGACCAATGAGGGCACGAGATCAGTTTGTGCACAGTTGGAAGGCTGACAGGCAGGTAGGCCATCCAATTATTTTAGCCGGGCCGGCTCAGATGATTGGCCGTGCTTTTTACAGTACTACGGCTTCCACAGATGACATTTTTGTATGTATTTATTGTCAAAGCATTTAATATATTCATTGCTATCGGGATGTTAAGAGCATTCCATGGAATATAACAAAAAGTGTTTCTGAAGTGAATTAACTACCCTACCTTTAAATGTCAGCTAAAAGAGCAGTGAAATTAAAGACCTCTGAATTTTCTGTAAAGATATTAACAGTAGGCTACTTAATGTCAGCTTAGTACAAATAAAACATTAGCTAACAGACTAATTTCCACCACTCATGGACCACACCTTTTCTTGTGAAAAACTGGCTGACATACTGTCACCCTTTAGTCCCTCTCTCTTGTCTTTCTCTCCTTTCTCTTCTTTTCTTAGAGCCTGACTTTTTGAGTAGTTGAGACATGGTACAATACACGTACGGACTAGCATCCCTCCTCACATGCTTTCACAAGGCTTGTTTGAGACGCGTTGCGGCTCGCCTCGAAAGTAGACGAGAATAGCCGATCGCAGCCGGGGGAGGTCTCAAAAAGCTCGCCTGAAGTCGGACAGCTCGGGCTGCTTCTCAGGTCGATTAAATGAAATCCTTGCTTCCCTCACTTGCGTCGTTTCCCTGCGTTTAGTCCCTCCCACCAGGGAAGCATGGAGGGACGCAAGGAAACCACGAGAAGCAGGGAAATGAGTTTTAAGAGCAATGGGACGTCCTTTAGCGACGTCCGTTTGTGATGACGCTGCACAGCT